GTCAAGGCGACGTTCTTCACTGTACCTCTTTGTGTCAATGTGACGTTCTTCAGTATTCCTTCTTGTGTCAAGGGGACGTTCTTCAGTATTCCTCCTTGTATCAAGGCGACGTTCTTCAGTATTCCTCCTTGTATCAAGGCGACGTTCTTCAGTATTCCTTCTTGTGTCAAGGCGACGTTCTTCACTGTACCTCTTTGTGTCATGACAACGTTCTTCTGTGTTCCTTCTTGTGTCAAAGCGACGTTCTTCAGTATTCATCCTTGTGTTAAAGCGACGTTCTTCGGTGTTCCTTTTTGTGTCAAGGTGACGTTCTTCAGTGTTCCTTATTGTGTCAAGGCGATGTCCTTCAATGTTACGCCTTGTGTCAAGGCGTCTTTCTTCGGTGTTCTTCCTTGTATCAAGGCGCCGTTCTTCAGCATTATTCCACGCGTCAAAGCGACGCTCTTCAGTGTTTCTCCTTGCGTCAAGGCGACGTTCTTCAGTATTCCTTCTTGTGTCAATGGGACGTTCTTCAGTATTCCTCCACGTGTCAAGGTGACGTTCTTCTGCTCTCCTTGTGTCAAGACGACGTTCTTCAGAGTTCCTCCGTGTGCTAAAGCGACGTTCTTCAGAGTTCCTCCTAGTGTCAAGGCGACGTTCTTCAGAGTTAGCTCTTGTGTCAAGGCGCCGTTCTTCACTGTTCCTTCCTGTGTCAAGGCGTCGTTCTTCAGAGTTCCTCTTTGTGTCAAGACGACGTTCTTCAGAGCTCCTTCTTGTGTTAAGGAGACGTTCTTCAGAGTTCCTTCCTGTGTTAAGGCGACGTTCTTCAGAGTTCCTCCTTGCGTCAAGGTGTCGTTCTTCAGAGCTCTCCCTTGTGTCAAGGCGCCGTTCTTCAGTGATTCTTCCGGTGTCAAGGCGTCGTTCTTTAGAGTTCCTTTTTGTGTCAAGGCGTCCTTCTTCACTGTTATTCCTTGTGTCAAGGCGCCGTTCTTCAGTGTTCCTCTTTGCGTTAAGGCGTCGTTCTGCAGAGTTCCTCCTTGTGTCAAGCCGCCGATTTTCAGAGTTTCTCCTTGTGTCAATGCGTTGTTCTCCAGTGTTCCTCCTTGTGTCAAGGAGCCGTTCTTCAGTGTTCCTTCCTGTGTCAAGGCGTCGTTCTTCAGAGTTCCTCTTTGTGTCATGGCGACGTTCTTCAGTGTTCTTCCTTGTATCAAGGCGACTTTCTTCAATGTTTTTCTTTGTATCAAGGCGACGTTCTTCAGAGTTCCTCTCTGTGTCAAGGCGTCGTTCTTCACTGTTATTCCTTGTGTCACGGCGCCGTTCTTCAGTGTTCCTCTTTGCGTCAAGGCGTTGTTTTTCAGAGTTCCTTTTTGTGTCAAGGCGGCGTTCTTCAGAGTTTATCCTTGTGTCAAGGCGTCGTTCTTCAGTGTTCTTCCTTGTTTCAAGGCGTCGTTCTGCAGAGTTCCTCCTTGTGTCAAACCGCCGATTTTCAGAGTTTCTCCTTGTTTCAATGCGTTGTTCTCCAGTGTTCCTCCTTGTGTCAAGGAGCCGTTCTTCAGTGTTCCTTCCTGTGTCAAGGCGTCGTTCTTCAAAGTTCCTCTTTGTGTCAAGGCGACATTCTTCAGAGCGCCTCGTTGTCTCAAGGCGACGTTCGTTAGAGTTCCCCCTTGCGTCAAGGCGTCGTTCTTCGGTGTTCCTGCTTGTGTCAAGAAGAAGTTCTTCAGAGTTCCTCCTTGTGTCTAGACGTCGTTCTTTAGAGTTCCTCTTTGTGTCAAAGCGACGTTCTTCAGAGTTCCTCCTCGTGTCAAGGCGACGTTCTCCGGAATTTCTCTTTGTGTCAAGACGACGTTCTTCAGCCTTCCTTGCGTCAGGTTGTTTATCAATAAATTGTCCACCACGAAGGTGTGTATCAGATCTTTTATGGACGAACAGTCTTCGTTCAGCGATCTTGTTGAGTAGTCGTTGCTCTTTGACTTGTCTGGCATCAAGATATCGCTCTTCACCAATTCGGCCGTGAAGTTGTCGACCTTCGGAAAGTCGGGCATCAAGTCTTCGAATTTTATCGTATTGGACATGAAGGCGGCGGCCTTCAACAAGTCGAGCATCAAGTCCTCGTCCTTCAGCAAGTCGTGTATCAATTCGGCGGCCTTCAGCACGTCGGACATGAAGTTGGTGGCCTTCAGAAAGTCGGGCATCAAAACTACGGCCTTCAGCAAGACGAACTGCATAGCGACCATCAGAATATCTGTCTCGTCGACCAGCCAGACGAACCTCGACATCACTCTCCCTCGTAAGTCGATTGTCGACAAGTGCCCCTCTAACCCCTTGGCCTCGCTCTTCGAATTCTTTTCCTTTTACCAGACGACGAACACTCAGGTCACGATGTCTTCGACCAGAGGCATCCTGAGACCCTGGCGAAGTTTCCCAGATGTTGACGTGGTCGCCAGGTGCATTGTTGTCCTCAACAGGGTCGGAACCACCGGGCCTGGAAATGTGGATTAGTGATGATGTTTGGGTTCTGTTTTGTGCATGTTGTACCGATTACTTGTTAGCCCTTTCAGTACAATGGTGTAACCTTTTGAAGTCGATGATTTTAACCCTTGGAGAAGTATGGTTTGACCATTGTAAAACGATGGCTTAACCCTTTGAAATCGATGGTTAAACACTTGGGGAACTATGGTTTAACCATTGGGAAACGGTGGTTTAACCCTTGGAGGGCAATAGTTTACTCTTTGAGGACGATGGTTAACCCTAACATGTCGATAGCTTAATCATTGGATGACGATGGTCTGTATCATCACAATTAAATGTTAAAACCTCATAAATCTAAGCCTCTAAGGCTCACAGTCTAATCTATCTTTGTAAAAAGGATAAACCATTGTCTTCTAAGAGTTAAAAAATAATAATTCCGCAGGTTTAAACTACCCTTTTCAAAGAGTAAAGCAATCATCCTCGGAGACAAAAAAATTTTTTTTACTTGTGTTAAACTAGTTGGGAATAAATCTTAAATAAATCTTAAATAAATAAGTAAGTAAGTAGATGGGTGAGTTATTTAAATACATCCTTTAAATTACGTGAATTGGCCTAACTTTATAGGTGTTTTTTCTATTCAGTTTCAAAATTAAATTATTTAAACTGAACATAATATTTAACATATATCAGAGATTAACTTTAGTAGAAAATTGAATGAATGCCAGTAAAGGTGAACAGTCGACAGAAATGTGAGGCGTGATGATGAATTGAATGCTTGTAAGAACACTGAACATTATTGAAGGTAATAAGCACAGGGGGTAAAGGAAGAGAGAAGAATGAAAGTGGAAATTATACTGGTGCTTGTTCATGATTAATGAAGGTGAACGTTAACCAGAGAATTAAACACCATTAACAGAAGATTAACTAGAGAGAGAGACAGAGGTTGAGGACACTTACTGTATATGAGAGCTCTACCAGAAGAGGAAGAGTGACGCGTTAACTAGATCATTAGAATATAGGCAACAGAGAACACCTCTACCTGAACACGAGAATGGGGGAGAAGAGAGGTGAACACGAAGCACTACTCACAGTGAAGGGTGATGGAAGAAGTGATGGGTGGTGGGGTCTGGCACCTGTAGTAGGCCATGGGTGAGGTGGACCAGGCAGGAGGTGCTGACGAAAAGCAGCAGTAACAGGGCGCCCCCAGTCACACGCTCCCTTACCATCACCAGTGTGGGCTGCAACAACAACCCACAAGACCCCGTGACACTCCAGTACCATAACTTCTCGTTACTGTGCATCTGCAATACCTTTCATGGAACCACACCTCGTCACTCTGCTGTCTCCAATACGTACACGTCATCACAAAACAATGCCAGTGTAATATCTACAACAACTACCAGAATTTTATTTTAACAATTACTATGTTACCATAATATCAATTCACTAAATCGTCAGCATTTATAATAATAAGAATTAGCATATTCCATGACACCACAATACCTTAGTACCACACTATACCATCATTTTGTCTCTCCCTCAATAGTCGTCCTTTCCCATGGTAACTAAAAGCAACAGAAATAATCTAGTTCACAACACAATGAACAGGTAATAATTACATCTCACTTCCTCTATTCGCTATTTTGAGGACCAAAGGTGTACCCCCGTTCACTGCCTAAGCGCCAATGAATGCAATTACTATCACGACGTCATTTCATTCTCTCGTTAACATGCTGCCATCCATATAGACGTAAATAGACCCAAAACAGCACTTTACATTCGTATAACTCCTTAGTTCATCCATACCTGTTGTTTACATATTGTTAGGGCTCAGCACTTCATGAACCTAAAGCACACTCTACACAATATTCATTGTATTCATCATTCAGCCCAGCTTATATTGTGTATCTCATTCATAAAACTCCTCAGTCACTCAGTGTTTGCAACACTAGACAACTCTCTAGCTTACGAAAGTCAACACTCTTACACTACACACTTGGTTCTTACTGTAATACTCTTCATGCACCTGCAGTCTTCAGAAACATTAGTGTTGAAGAAGCTGCTGGATGACACACGGAAAGTCAGACCAATAACCAGGCCAGATAATAACATTCTCATTCTGTACGTAAGGAAAATATTACAAAGATCTCATCCTCTACGTAAACCAACACAAAAAACACTGTATAAGTGTCACTCCGACGTTAAATACTTCCAGCCACAACCAAAACGCTTCGATTCCACAATACAACGTAAATATCACTGTATTTTCACAGGAAAATGAATGCTTACACTTTTCCATATACTTACCGAGTTTTTGTCGTGAAGGATTTTACGAAGAAAGGTGTGTTTATACCGGCGTCTTCCAGAATGCTCTGATGGAAACATTGTCCGCAGCATCCTATATACCCACCAAGATCCCTTCCTCTCCCTCCGGGGTCTTCACGCCTCTGGCCAATGAGAAGCCTTCAAACAGTTGACGTCAATGGTATGGATCGCTATAACTTTTTTAATAGTTAGCTTTAGCTCAAAGATGATTTGACGGAATTGAAAGAAGTATTGTATCTTGTACAGTATACATTCTCAGCCTGTGAGAGACACTCTCTCTCTCTCTCTCTCTCTATACATATATATATATATATATATATATATATATATATATATATATATATATATATATATATATATATATATATATATATATATATATATATATATATATATATATATATAATTGTCTCTTCCTTACTTTATTTTAGTCTATATTTCTTTCCGTCTTGTTTCATCTTCGCCTACTCCCTTCTTCTAATCGTTCTATCTTTATCAATATTTGTCTGTCTATCTCTTTCTTACTCTCAGGCAGTCTTTCTCTTCTTGCTCTCTCTTCTGTAACAATGCCTTCAATATCTTCTTTTAGTAGTTATTATTTTGCCTTTAAAACAACAACAAAATTATTAACAGCAACAACATCAACAACACTAACAACAACAGCAACATCAACAACAACAACAACAACAACAACAACAATAATAATAATAATAATAATAATAATAATAATAATAATAATAATAATAATAATAATAATAATAATAATAATAATAATAATAATAATAATAATAATAAATAATAATAATAATAATAATAATAATAATGATGATAATAATAATAATAATAATAATAATAATAATAATAATAATAATAATAATAATAATAATAATAATAATAATAATAATAATAATAATAATAATAATATTAATAATAATAATAATAATAATAATAATAATAATAATAATAATAATAATAATAATAATAATAATAATAATAATAATATGTAATTTTTTTCCCGGTGGGACAAGAGAAAAAATTCCAGTAAATTTGTGTATAGTCATGAAATTGTGTGAACTCTTAGTTGTGTGTATATGACTAGTTTAAATACGTTTTAGATACAGTCTTATCGCTATCTAGGTTAAGACGCCACCTTTATGGTTATTACTATAACTGAACTTTTTACCTAAACTTGTCATTGCACTGATGTTTCTCATTTACACTTCTGATTCTGCTTTGGATTATAGTAGCCTATAACTGTGTATTCATCAACGAGTGTTTTGGGTGTGCTTACACGAACTCAGAGTGAGCAATGTATCTTCGTTTTAAAAAACGAGTTGATGAGCATCTACTAGTTAGTCAAATTTGCCTAACTAGAGGTGGCCACGTCGAAGAAAGCCAAGAAGCGCTTTTGTTTCCACGGTACTGTTCCATAGGTCTCTCTCCCTCCGCGTGAGGAAGTACTTCCTTAGAGCCGTCCTCCATCTCTTTTAGGAATTTAAGTGTCTCTGAGGTGTTGCCTGTTGTGTCTTGTCTGACAAGTTGTCAATCCTAAGACCATCAGTCTACTTAGGTAAACGACGTGATTTGTTTCAGGGATAATTCTAATCGCTCTGCATGTACTTTTTTTTAACAATATTAATATTTCAGAAAGTGTGGCCTCCATGTTTACATTCAGTAGTCCAGGTGGAGACATGAAAGTGATATTTAAGGCTGAATTTTGAGCCTTTTTTTTATCCTTATATCTAATATTTAAACCACATTATATGCTTGTTTGTTTGTTTGTTTGTTTTGATGTTTGTTAGTGCGGATGTTTGTTATGTACGGTGACAGTTTTGACGATAAAGTTGATTTTTTTTATGGGGATACGTACCGTTATATAAACCAGAAGTATCACAAATGCGGAACATAAGATGTTAGGCCAAGTGGTCGGAACCCCCCCCCCCCCTGCCTTAAAAATACATCTAATTTTGTTTCATTACTTTGCATGGCTACAGTTTAAAGACAAAGAGTTGAAATTTAGTATGCTTAGGTAAATAGTCCCAAAAATCCTAAGGAAAGTTTCAATTACGGAGGCGCGATTGGCTTCTGTGCGCCATTTTTTTTTTTAACAGAGTTGACATTTGGGATGGGTATTTTTATTAATATACACTAAATTTTGGTTAAATACGTGCATAGACTATATGACTCCACCCATTTGATTAACTCTACTTCATCTTGAACAAACCCGCGTAACTCCGGGTTCCCCAGCAAGTATTCAATTAAAATCTAGTAGAACATTTTATAAAGATCTTACTCATACTTAGATGGTCCGTTTCTTATTATGTAAGACTTCTCAAGAGTGTAGTGCTCCCTCACTTGAAGTGTATAAATCTGTTGGTCTCCAAGATATACCAAAGGCAAAAAATTTATTGAGAAAGTCCAAAGCAGTCACCAAACTGGTACTGGTACTCAGACTCTTTACTTACTGAGTGAGATTAGAATGTCTACAATTGCCTATTTTTCACTATAGGAGAGGAAGGGCATAAGCACCTCAAAGAATATTACTCTGCCAAGTGCAGATGGCCGTCCCACTAGAGGTTACAGCCTCAAGTTAAAGAAGTTATTATTATATACAGAAAGATATTGGAATTAATTTCTTTGGAGTAATAGTTGTGAACTCTTGGAAAAACCTGCTGGAGAATATTGTAACAGCACCAAATATGAGCTCATTAAAGTCCAAACTTGATCAACACTTGCTCATGTTCAGGTACAGTCCTCCCAAAAAGTATCGTTACCCATGGGGTCGATGGGGGGTTCATGTTTTTGTGAGCAGTGGTATACTATCCATTCTAGGGTGACTAATCCTAAGAGAATAACTTAACTCTACCCTTAATTTTAAGGTCGCTGCCACCAGACCCCCTGGACAGTATGTATCTTGTTAGGTAGCTGGCAGAGCAAGACAGGCACGGGGGTGTGTTTCCA